TATATAAATTTTGTAAAAATTTTATTAATAAATTGTTAAGTAATAAACGTCGAAATCAGCTATAATTTCAAATGATCAGTAAATGATCAGCAAGTGGTCAGATATTTTTTGAAGGGGAGTATACATTTGATCCTAAAATTTATATTTGATTAAAATAATTCTAACTGATTCTAACATTCATTACTCGATTTAAGAAATTCTTTCGTGCCTTAACTCGCTTTACTATCTCTTAATAAATTAAATTTTAACGTTCAAATAAGCAAATAATTATATATCAATTGTATTTCTTGTAATATATTGCTTTTTCTCATATTTTACATAATAATAAAAAATCTATCAGAATTTCCATTAAAGAATATAATTTTAATATATGGGTATAATCAAATGATTTTCCATACATTATTATTTATATTATGTATAGCAAACTTCTTCTTTTTCTAACAAAAGACTACTTATTTCGATAAGATTAAAAATAAAAATAAAATGAAATTAGAAGAATGCTTTATGGTTTTATGGTATAAAAATTTTGAATAAATCAAGAAATTTCTCCTCAAATTAGATCAAAAGTTTATAAGTTAAATGATTGTTTATTCATACATAAGGTATATATATAATTTATTAATTAAAAAAAATACTCTTCTCTAAAATATTAAGAAATTTCTAAAGTTAATGCATAAAAGTTTAAAATTATATATTACAAGTTAAATGTATTTAGTTTTAGCAATATTAATTAAAAAGTTTTATATTATCATGACGGTACATAATACTCTAATGTTAAAATTAATATAATAAACTTTAATTATTGACATCTATCATTATAGACAAATCCATATTAGTTCATGTTTAAATTGCAATTATAAATATTGATATGTTTTATATCATATTACCTCTTAATTGTAATAAGCTAGAAATTCCTAATTCAATTAATTAAAAATCTTAAAATTCTGTTAAATTGCATTGAAATTAATATTTTGTTATCAAAATAAAAAGTTATATATATATATATTACCTTTATTATTCTCATCCTTTTCAAGGTATGAGATAATAAGAGACAAATTAATAGGTTTTATCAAATTTTTAAATGTAAATACTCTATTTATATATATAGCATCAGGATTCATTTTGCGTAAAATTGAAATATTTGGTATCTTTTCATCTGCTTCTTCAAATGCTTCCTTTATTTCTTTTTCATAATATCCATATTTTTTATCATTTTTATACACTTCATAATAATAAACAGTACCAAACTAAAAACCTAATATATTTAACAACTATTTGCTCGCTAGTCTTTGATTTAGATTTGCATCTATACATCTATAAGCCATTTTCTTATAAAATCTAGGGATTCCTTTTCCAAATTCTAGATAAAATCCATTACAAATATTTAAAGTTAAAGATACATTATGTTTTCTATCATCAAAAGGATAGTTTTTGGATGATAATTCAGTTATAATCATACTAAAACTGTATATATCAGAAGCTAAAGTATATAATTCTTTATTTAAAACTTCTGATGTGGTATATAGTAATACTCCATATATTGTATCATCTAATTTTTACTTATCTGCTGATCCTGTTAATCTAAAATCTGAAATCATGCTAAAAAATAATATAAATAATTAAATCGTAAGATATTTCTAAGCTAATATGATTAGAGTTCCAGACGAGTCAAGTTAACTCACGAGTCAAATAAGCCAAGTCGAGTTCAAATCAAGTCGAGTTTGTGTTATTTGACTCGATGATTTGTGAATCAAGTTAAATTCAAATCGAGTTAAATATTTAACTCGACTCGATTTAAACTCAACTTGATTCAAGTTGACTTAAGTTGACTTGAACAATAAAGAATCGTTCGCCTTGAATGATAAAAAAATCGTTTAAGTCAAACGATAAGAAATTGTTTGACTTGAACAATAAAAAAATTATTTAAGTCGAACGATAAGGAATCATTCGACTTGAACGATAAAAAAATTGTTCAAGAAGAATGATAAGAAATCGTTCGACTTGAACGATAAAAAAATCGTTTAAAAAGAATGATA